AGAAATTCCTCATGCAGCATTCGGTCTGGTGAGGTGCCTAAGAGCATCCTTCGGCGTAGAAAGACCGTATCTGGCCTACCAGGTAAATGGACTTTATCAATAGTGTTAGGTAGCAGGCTAGTTACTGACCCGGAGGGTCTTTTTTCTACCGATTCCAACGGTACAACTTCTACATCGTCGTAGTAAATGTGATCGCCTTTAGCAATATATCTCAGTAAATAATTGAACTGGCGTTGGAAGAACCTCTTCTCTAGCTTTTCGTCTCTGTTGTAGGTCAATTGTAATCTCTCCACTTGGTCCATGGGTATTGGCAAATCATCATCGCCCCAAGAATCATCAATGACTCCAAATATTTGATCTGGAACACCCAAGTCCATAAGAATCAAAAAGATCTTCTTCGCCTTCTCTTCAATCCATTCCATGTATGTGTCATCGGTCAAGCCATCGCCGAAACCCAATGGCTCATCCAAACGCTCTTGCTCGTCTGGACGTAATTTTGATGACACAAATTGACGTGTGACGGTAGCTTGAACTCTTGCCTCATCCCACCACATTGTAGGCATGTCGTCCAAAATTCCACTCGAGGTCCGTGGGACACCAGCACCGGCGAAACTAGCATATATCTGAGGGTTTGTACTAGCTTGTTGCTTTCGGTTCAGAACCATGGAACTTCTTCTGTACTCCATGGCTGGAGATTCTGCAAGTTTCCCAGATAGTTATGGATTTGGTGGGGAGACAAGACTGCTGTTATGGTTGGCCGACGCAAAGCTAATGATAACGAGCCGTATATAATTACTCCGTAATTTACTGGAGGAGGGGGTGGAGAATAGGATAGCGAGATGCAAAAACGTGAAGTAATCCCCAGTTAACAATCAAATAATGCAATCTTAAAATAATGATTGCATCAACTGCTTGATGGCGTCAGATATAAAAATCGGCTGTGCCCTTAACCCTATCACTCACTATGCTTGGAATTTGTTCGACTGCTAGGTCACAGTGTGGTGATGTTTGACCGAAGTGTGTAGTTTTCCAACAGAAGATATCGGGTGAGACAATCCTCATTTGTGTGTAGAGAAATCACCGAGGCGATCTGGGGTCTTGCCCTCTCTCTGTACTGTATCTGAAGTCTGCAGTATCGTGGTAAGTTAGTTTATCGGATAAGTCGGACGGGTCCGGGTTTGCAGTTTGTTTGGACAAGAACACAACACTGTTGGATGTAGGTAGCGACCGATGACACTTGTAAAGTATGAATCATCTAGACGGCGAGAATGAATTCCAGATATCTGTGTTGATGTGACAGATCATGTTTGGTTGGGTATGACTGACTTGGAAATGAGCTGTATCATGATCTTCTTGGCGGCTCGGAAGAGATACAAGACACAAAAAACACCCTTATGAGGACAAGTCGTTGCTGAGATCAAATTTGACCATGAGGCGTTGCTGCGGCTATCTACAGGACGGTGTCAATGCCATGCTGCTGGAGGATGCCTCGTTGCATGCGGAGTATATGATTGGCAGTCTTCCAATAAACCTCCGCCTGCCTGCCGCTCACTAGCTTTCTTTCGCGGAATGGATGGGGGGATCTTTGTGCTCCTCTTTCTCGAGAGAAGTCTGGAAGGATCTCTGTTTTATTGTTCTTTTAAAGGGGTAGATATGTCAGCCTCAATTTTGGTGTAGATGGGTCCCGAAGTCGCGAGAAGCGGAGACAGTAAAATGAATGTAAGTAAAATGAATGAATGAATGAATGAATGAATGCACTTGGCCACAAGTCATCTCGAAGAGCGGCGGCTGGCTGAGTAATATGATTGATGCCTTTCAACCCCATTTCTTCCAATTCTTCCATGGTGGTATGGGTATGATGGTATCAGTCAGTATGGATTGCTCCGGCTGTTGTAATGAGATTTTTCTTCTATAAATTACGAGTAAAGATTTGGTAAGATTACTTAAGATCATCACGGGATTTCTTGGAAAGCTATATGATTACTAAGCATATGTAATAACGATAGATATATCTGTAAAGATCCGAATCAAACCTTGCTTGACCTCGATTAAACTCAACTTTCCTCTGAGTCTCACCTCTCTGACTCGGGATAAAACCCGGGTTGAGCGGATGTTACACGGCAGGATAAGAACCCGCTTGGAGGTTGCTTGGTAGATATCGAGTACAACATTCATGATCACCTGACCAGCTCATGTATATCTTCTCATGTAGAGTAGAATTATGCCCCATTGTTACTAAGAACCCATTCAAGATGCAAAATAACAAAACTATGGGTATCGCTTTTCCATCCATTATCGTCTGGCCATGGTCTTCATTGCCAGATCCACGCAAGCCAATGCCATACCATACCATACCATAACGCCCACGCTAAAACACCCAGCATTCTGTGCAGAGACTCCGCCCTCCAACCTTTTCCATCAGTACTTCTCCTCCTCCCACCTACTGGTTCGAGTCGTCTCCGCGAAAGCTATCCAATGACTGGATTTGCGCCTTCAAACTGTCGTTGATGAGATCCAAGCATAGTCGAGACGCTGTAAAGGTGTGAGCTCGAGCCTTGGCCTCCAAATCAACTCCATTCAAGATGATACTGACGTCTAGGGAATTCCTCAATGAGCCATCCATTTTCCAAAGCTTCGACTGCAGCTTCCAATCGCGCGGATTGATAACAATGGTATTCCTTCTGCAGCGCCAACATCCTCTCCCAGCATTCTGCATCCGACTCATTTGGACTCGCCAAAACACGTGACCTCATGATATCGGGCAGCCCGTGCAAAGGTTGTGCGAGGGGTGAAGCGCTTCGAGTGTCTCTGCCAGGCATCGATGGTGATGGTGTGCTTCGAAGTTCGCTCTCACAACTTCCTTCTCGTGAAGATTGTGGGGAAGGCATGATATCGATTGATCGATATCTCATCCACGTGATGGTGATGGTGGGGAGACTGAGCGATGATGGTAGCTTGTTACGAAATACAATGTTGATTTTCGGGAAAGCCAAAAGCATATTCCACCGTGGGAGATCGGGAAAGGGCAAGGGAAAGGGAAAGGGAAAGGGAAAGTATAGCATCGAGCAGAGGAAAGTAAATCGATTGAAACACGGCTACCACTTAGCCTTTATATGCCTACAGAGCATGAGAATTTTTTGATTGCGTATCCACTTCCGATTGACCCGAGCCCTCTTTTTTTTGCTTTTTTTTCTCTTCTCTAAAAACCACTTCTGGCTCAGTCATTCTTTCATTCATTCTTCCATCGCATGGATGGAATCGTAATTGCCGGAGCATGCATATGGTGTATAGCTTATTCTTGTTGACCAATGATCACCAGGCGCACCAGCCCGAAGACGTGTGACAGCAGATGCGGATAAGTATATGAAATGACTCAGGCTATTGCAGGTTTGCAGGCCATCTAGGCTTTGGCCAGATTCGAGGGCTTGTTGCGGGAAGCGGTTTGGGGGGTTATCACTTGGCAGCGGTCCAGATGTATGCTACACTACACCGAACAGGGAGGGAGGGATCCGGAGGTAGGAGTCGATCCGTTGATTGAGGTGATTCTTGCGACTTCGGGGAGTGAACAAGAAAGGCGATACTGTAACATCATCTCCATCCCACAGATGTGAGATTTGAGATTTGAAGGTTTGAAGGTTTGAAGGTTTGATTTGATAGTTTGATGCCTCGATCTAAAGACGGCGCGGGAGCCAATTGCAAGGGTGCAGGACAATTTGCATGCATATGCTTCGGCAAATGAGATATAAATCCACGCGGCCCAGGCCATTTTCTTCGAGAACTTACATATCATGACACCAGTCACACCACCACCACCAACAATCAATCAATCAATCAATGCGTCAAGCTTTTAGGCTTTGCTGGATATCCACCCGCCAGAGGAGAAAAGTGGTCACGGTCACAGTCACAGTAAGATGTCCGCCCATGTGCATATTCTCCATAGAGTTTATGTATATATGGAGCTGACGAACACCGTAACGTGTGTGGCTGGCTGTTGGATCTTGAGTCACATCAACGACGAGAACTTCAACGCCATTACGAGTACATACATGTGTGTGCGTGCTTTGATACCGAAGCATCGTGCTCATCCTCTTGCATATATACAAGACCAGCTGCATGCAACACCTGCAATCACTGCGACACTGCGACACTGCGACACTGGGCGTACATACATATCACGCCACACGGCATGTGTTTGCAGATCCGCAGAGAATAACTAGGCTAGTAAGTTCCTGGGCGTGCATGCCAATGCCAATTTGTCTCTCTCTCTTGAGCTCTCTCAATAACAATGCAATCCCCTCCCGAAGAGTTCCCGACGTGTGAGATAAATGTCATCCATCTTCTCGATCCGTCCAATGATGAAACCCACCCAATCTCCATCTGAGATGGTGGCTTGACTATCTCATATCGATGCATTTGCATCAACCTTACTTTTACGTCATGAGTGATTGCAATTGAGGTTTGGTGATCTATATTATTGTTATTATTATTATTATCATTATGGCATAATATAGATAGATATAAAGATGTCTCGAAATAGATGAGCTTAAAGGCGAAGGAGTATGCCTTCCTTATTCTAGCCTAGCCTAGCCTAGGGAGCCTGCCTCGTGGCTGCCCAACTTCGAAACCTGCGCTTCTCTTCTTCTTCTTCTTTTATTTTGCTTCCTTTTCGCCCTGAGCGGCTAAGGCTGTACGTGTACGGTACCGAGTTGTGGATGACCAAGACGAGGAAAATTAATAAGAAATCTTTTTAAAAAAAGCTTTGATAGACCGATTCCGGCTCAACGGGCGGCACCCACTGAATATGTCCCGGTTTCTCCATATCATAATCCTCGTGTGAGAGTCGGCGTAGCATCTTCGGGTGTGTTGTGGGGATTTGTATCATGAACAACAACATGATGTGTTTCAAAAACGTCTAGAAATGTAAACAACAAAAGTAACACAATACGGGTGAGTGGGTATACATGCAAAATGTATCTAGTTGATCGATCGGCAAAAGGATATTCCGGTACGGGGAATTGAACCCCGGTCTCCCGCGGCTTGAGACAAGCGATGAAGCTTTGAATGAGAGGCGGAAATGCTAGCCACTACACCATGCCGGATTGTTGTTTGTTGTATTTGATGGAATGTCGGTTGCTATAGACAACTATATATCGATTTGTTGTTTTAGCGAAGAGCTAGCCTTAGGCTGATTGATATTGCCGAGGTGTACCCGTACAAAACTTGATCTTTAATAACCAAGTCATATCAAACAGAATCTCATACAAAGTGCATGATTAATCATTACATACTACCTCTTATTAGATGTTTGCTTTATTGTCTCCCCTTCAAAACTAAACTCAGCAGTAAATATATCGTCGGATAGAATGACTTGTATCATATGATCAGACTACGGATCATTACAAACAGCCTTGATATCGATGTTATCACATCCATCGAGACAAACTGTTACGCAAACGCGGATATTCTGTGGATCTTCTTTCAATTCCAGAGCTTATTATACTGTAATTGCAATATAATGTGATTGATTCGAGACTGAAGCTGATTATGAAATTGCAAGACTTTCTGTACAGTAAATAGGAAGTCGTATTATTACTCGGGCCTAGCCTAGCCGACTCATCCCCTATCTCGCTAATCGCCAAGTTCCCTACCCCTTCTTTCCTTCCATAGGCTATTTATGATACATACTTACCCGTTGCCAAACCCGTTGCCAAACCCCTTTGAAATATCCGGGTTCTTATTTCATGCTAAATAGCGATAAATAACCTCCGAATTCAAACTCAAGCGGATCAAATCCTTATAATAACAATCCCAAGGTCAAGTTGCCGAACTTTGCCTTTTAGGCTGAATGATAACAACCTACCGAATTGTATACTTTCAAGTTGCATTCAGCCAGCGAGGGAGGGCATCTCGTATATAAAAGTGCATGTATTTCTCCTTTCCCATCTACATCTTCATTTTCGTCTTCCTCTTCATCCACGAGGTTCCTTAAGCTTCCAAGTTTGTAATCAAGTACGGATGATAATTATAGTTACCCCCACCTCCACCCCGCCATTCATCCTACCTTCCGGTTACGTCAAGTCAAACCAACCCACCCCTCCCAAGTGAAGAAAAGAACACTTCACAGGAAACAACTCTTCCCTTCATTGACATATATACACAGCAGATCTTGAATTTTCCAAAACAAAAATCCTTCTCTCAAACCTCTCCTGTACATACAAAAAAGTATCAATCATGGCCCCTCCAAACCTCAAACTCAATTCTGGATACGACATGCCACAAGTCGGTTTCGGCTTGTGGAAAGTCGACAATGCAACTTGCGCCGACACGGTCTACAATGCCATCAAAACCGGCTATCGTCTGTTCGACGGAGCATGCGGTAGGAATCCCACCCAACCCCGACCCCCATGCACAGCACAAATCACTCACTCACTAACCCCGTCTCCCCCCAGATTACGGCAACGAAGTTGAAGCCGGCCAAGGCGTAGCACGCGCCATCAAAGAAGGCCTCGTCAAACGCGAAGACCTCTTCATCGTCTCCAAGCTGTGGAATTCCTTCCACGACACGGACCGCGTTGGGCCCATTGCCCGCAAGCAGCTCGCGGATTGGGGAATCGACTATTTCGACCTGTACATAGTGCATTTCCCCGTCGCGTTGCGCTATGTGGATCCATCCGTTCGCTACCCGCCCGGCTGGGAGTACAGCGGCAAGAAAGGCGATGTGCAACAGAGCAAAACCACGATTCAAGAGACGTGGCGGGAGATGGAAAAGCTTGTGGATGAGGGGCTGGCCAAGAGCATTGGAGTGAGCAATTTCCAGGGCGCGTTGTTGATGGACTTGTTGAGGTATGCGCGGATTAGACCTGCGACGTTGCAGATTGAACATCATCCGTATTTGGTTCAGGATGCGTTGTTGAAGCTTGCGGAGGCGGAGGGCATCAAGGTTACCGCTTAGTGAGTTTTCCTATTCTTGAAGTCCGGGTTCCATCGAGGACGGGGAACTCGGCCGGATACTGCAGTATACTCATCTCTATATAGCTCCTCATTCGGTCCACAATCATTCATCGAACTTGGATGGGACAGCGCTCAAAAGACACCACCTCTCTTCGAGCACCCACATATCTTGAAGATTGCCGAGAAGACCAAGAAGACACCCGCTCAAGTTTTGTTACGGTAAATTGTCTCCCTATCCCAGAATCTATCATTTGCCTTTGTTCATAACAGAATACTGATGCCGCCTCGCAGTTGGGCAACCCAACGCGGTCTCGCCGTGATCCCCAAATCCAACAACCAAAGCCGTCTGGAGCAAAATCTACACGTCACAGATTTCGATTTGGCCAAGGAAGATTTAGATTCCATTACTAAATTGGACCGAAATTTGAGATTCAACAACCCTGCTGATGTGAGTTGACCTCTTTTTCCTTGATTCCTCGAAATGAGGATTAATGCATTTTGATTTTCACAAAGGCCTTTACTAACTTCCCACCCTTTAGTATCTCGGAACAATACACATTTTCGCATAAGTACGATACAGGTTGCCGCTCTTTCGATTTGCTCCATTGCCTGCGCTGATATCTAGATATTCATCGTGTTGAAGAAATGCAATCAAGCCATTCGTTCAATTCTAACATCCACTTTGTAATGCAACATACTGATTGTTGCCATTGGTACACTGTGATAAATCCATGAAAACCTATTGATTCCCACCCAGAACTCCATCGCCATGCTATGATATGTCCATGCCATGTATTTGCACGTATGCCCCTCTGACACTCCCCATTTAGACACGCCGACCTCCTTCCTCTACCTCTATAGAACGTAGCCTATGAAACCCGAACAAAAGCTGCCATATTGTTAGCACACATGCCGATACCCATGGCATGAAAGGAGGCAACTCACTCGCATCAATTTGCATAACCTGCGGTAACGTCAAGCGCACCTTATTCCGGTACAAAGCGGGCGCCCTCAACTGCAAGGGATTCCCCTCGAAATAAACCGTATTCAAGTTCTCCTTATCTTTCAGGTTTTCCTCCACATCGTTGAAATCCGCAATTTGATTATAACTTGCCCACACCTCTTCCAGCTCCTTTAGCCCCTTGATCCCAGCCAATGACGACACCTGATTATTCGAAATATCCAGGACGCGCAGCTGAGAACAAGATTCCAGGCCCGAGAGCGTCGACAGCGCATTGTGCGAGATATACAGCTCTTCCAGCGAAGAAAGTTTATCCAGACCGGTGATATCTCGAATGCGATTACTTTGTATGCTCAAGATCTTGAGATTCTGCAGCGCATCCAGATTTTTCATCTCGGTAATCTTGTTCTTGCCGAGCCATAATTCTTCTAGCCCGACCAGAGTATCCAGCCCTTGAATTTCTCGAATCCTGTTCGCCGCCAGCTCTAAATTGCGTAGCTTGGTCAGGCCTTCTAGGTTCTCGATGGTTGTGATTTTATTCTGCACAAAGTAGAGATCGGTGAGATCGGTGAGGTGGTTTATTTTCTTGATGTGTTTTAGTTTGTTGAAGGAGAGGTCTAGGGAGGTGAGGTGGATGAGTTCTTCGAGTCCCCGGATGTGCGCGATTAGGTTGTCGTAGAGATCGAGGTCAGTGAGGGTGGAGGAGAGGGAAGAGAGGTCTTCGATTGTGCTGATGGTGTTTTGGCGGAGACAGAGGCGTTGGACTTTCTGGAAGCGGGAGAGGCGGAGAGAGGGGATCGAGGATATGCGTGCGTGCACTAGGTCGATTTCGTCGGTGTCGGGGGGGTAGTCGTCGAGGAGGTCTGGGATGAGGGTTAGGACGTATATAGCCTGATGTCTTTGATTGTACATGCCTTCATCTGCATTTATAACTTCCCCCGGTAGGACATTCTCCTCATCCGAATACTCGGGGTCCGAAATCGCCTCCGGATTCAAAAGCTCCAACTTCTTGCCCGTTTCCTTCTCTATACGTAATTTTCCATCCCAACCACTGCTGCTCCGGGGCGCGGTAGATTCTTGCGCATCATGGCCTTTGGTGTCGTCTCCGTTTATGGAAATATGTGATAGACTGGCTGCCGTTTTATCTTCTTGTTCGTTGGACATTGTGATTGTCTGGTTGTTGATGTTTGGTGGGAGCTTAGGGAGGGAGGGGTATTTGTTTGTTGTTGTTGCAAGGTCAACGTGGGTGGACTGAGCTTGGTGGCGGCGGGATCAGTGTATGGAGTCTTCAACTTTGTAAGCTTTGTTGGGTTTTCGAGATTTTTGATTATCATAACTCTTTCGTACAAGAATCAAGTGGAAGTTCGATTTTCATCTAATCCATTTAGATGACCAAATTTCGTTTGTATTTGATCTTTCATCCGATTTCGAAGATTCTCTTTCGCGTTGATTTGATAGCCTGACGATAAAAGATGTGGCGGCTTGGTGTGTGGCTGATTGACGAGGTAACACAACAATGCAAGTGATCATGAATGATAGAATATATAGCTTTGACACGCCCAGTCATCAGTATATATGTTTCGGACAACTAACCATAGATCCTCGCTGCAGCAAGCACGATGTATCTTGCGAAGGCCCCTTCAATATGGATGGGGTCAATATCAACGCCGTGCATTCTTTGAGGTGCCCATGTTCCTTGTTCCGCCCTTGTATTTTTTGGGATTAGGAATTGGGCTGTGGACTTGTGAGTGGGATTTCTATGTATTCTTCTCACTTCCAGCTGCAGGAAGATTGAACCAGTTGACTTGGATAATTTGAGAGTGTTGGAAGTTCAGCACTTATCGGCCATCCATACTGGGCGTTGCAATGAGTACTGCCGCCTGTATTGCCCGTATTGCCTATATAATGCTCCTGCTGAGTCAAGGTAGGGAAATGTTTCATGATGATTACATTTCAAAACAAAATCATCTACATGGTAAGCACTCTCACATTCTTCCTTCGGCATTTCTCATGCTGTAGCATTAGCCTGGATTGCCACCAAATTCTCGGCAGGAAACTATCGCGAATTATCAGGAGGAATGCATGGGTATAAGATGGAAGGAGGAAAGAACAAAGTCTACAGATGGTACTGCTATCAGTCTGTGTATTGCAGAAGTGCCTAGTGCTGCAAAGATCAAGGGAAGAGGA